TCCATCTTTTTTTTTTTTTAATCCATCTTGTATTGAAATTAGTTTTAGCTGGATATGCAGCACCTGTAATCCCAGGGCTCAGGATGGTGCAGGACATTTGCCTTGAGTTTAAGGCCAGCTGGAGCTACATAATCAGCTCAAGCCCTGCCTGAATTATACAGCGAGACCGTGTCTCAAAATAAAATTAACTTTAATTTTAATAAACTTTAATTTTCATCTCCAGGCATTTATTTTCATAACATAGGTTAATTTTTGATGGTAGGGGAGAACCTATTACCAGCTGCTTACTATGTACAGATAAGCAATATGTATAGTATAGTAAAAATAATCCATAGGAAAAGTCCCGCCAGAAACCGCCCAATGATAAGAAAAACAAAGAACAAACCCCAAATAAATCATCTGATGAATATTCTGCAAAGTAACATTTGAAGAAAAGCTAAGCTCATGTATCTATTTCTAAACAGCTGCACCAGCACTGGTTTTTCTGTAGAGTTACAAAGCAGTTATTTCTACAAAAAAGTGACTTTTCCTCTCCTTTTCCTAAGTAGAGCTCCATTCATGTTGCTCATCTTTATGCATGTTTTAGCTTCCGTTTTGATTTTTATCACCAAAGTATAAATTATCCATGGTTTATCGTGCCACCCACAACATATGCACCTCTTTGTCTCATTCCCTTTCTTATCCTCTGCCCTACTTTTTCCATCTCCCCCTTCTCCTGCCCTTCTTAATTGTAAATTTTAAAATTCCATTCAGGGGTAAGGGGAAAATTAGGCAAAACATGAAGGAAGCTCAGGGTGGGGTCCCTCAGTGCCAAGCACAGGTCGTTCACTCTTCCCCGGATCCAAGAGGCTATAACGAAAGAGAAGGCAGGTAAATGGCTCAGGTTTTCTGACATTAAAAAAGAAAAACAAAACAAAACAAAACCCTAGTTACTTGGAAGGAATCACGCTTTTCTGGATACTAACACCCAGGAGAAATTTCTCCCATGGGTCCCTGTAAAGAGCAGAATAGTGTGGTGCACCGAGCCTTCGACTCAGCAACACCCTACAGTTGAGCACGGAATTTCATAGGGCCAAGTGGCATTATTTAGTTCCCACTACTATACAAAGGGGCAACTTCTAATGAAAAGCTAATGTGCCGTGGGAAAATGTTGAATATTTAAAACACTTTTTCTCAAAGGTCAGGAGGAAACGAACCAGAATTGGCCAGAGCAACCCCTTTGAGAACTAAGCCTATTGGATTCCTTAGTGAAAATGTACGGCTGTAAGCGCATCGTTCGTCGGGAATTTTACAGAACTGAATCATCTTTTAAAAACAGCCGCTGGAGCAGGTTCACGCTGGCACACGCGCAGTGACGAAAACGCCCCCAGCGCGTCCGTAGGCGCTTAGCGCTCGGCGCTGCCCACCGCGCCGGGCCTCCCGCGCCCTACACCTCACGGGCCGACCCTCCTGGGAAGCGGCCCCTCCAGAGAACCGCGCCCAGCAAGCTGAGCAGCAGGGTGGCGCCGAGTAACGGCCACAAGCCACCTGTGGGGACTGTTTCATGGCGACAACCTAGCGCGCTCCCAAACGTCTCCTCTCAGGAACAGCCGTCAGGAGCGAGCAGGACTCACGGCCGTCCACCCTCAGGTCCCACGGCTGTGAGCTCCGGGACGGAGCCCAGGGGCGGGGTCCCTCGGGGCTGGGGGCTGGGCTCTGCCCCGTGGCTCTCGTTTGGGGGCGAAGACCACGTAGGGCGGGGGACGCTGCGAGCCCAATTCGCGGCCACCGCACAGGGCGGGCGTGCGGCCGGCTTCTCCCACAGCCTCCCACACCGGGAGCTTCTGCCTCCAACACCCGAGGCTCAGCGTGCCTCTCTCCTCGGGGCAGACGCCCAACGGGTCTGACTCCAGAGCGTAGACAGACTGGAATCTTCCTCCAGACTCGCCCCCACCTTCCTTCTTTCCGCTACGACTTATACAGCTTCCTCGTTGACCCCTTGCCGGCGGCTCCTAAAGGACCGAGAGCCGGTGGAGCCTTTTATAGCCCTGGAGACGTCATGGGTGCGTCACAAAGCACCGCCCCTCACGAGACGCCCAAGAGCTCCACGTGAGGAGGCGGGGCTCCGGAGGTTCCAGCCAATAGGGAAGCCAGGCTGAACAAAGGCCGGAAATCAAAGGGCTGGAGGGGCGCCCTTTGTGCACCATGGGCCTGCAGGGAGTGGATGTGGGCTTTTGCTCCCTGGGCCTAAACAACTGATTTAGAAGGAAAGCGCTGTATGTCTTTGACGGTTATGTCACTAGCAGGCCATTCCACGTACTCCTTGCCCTTAAATTACTCTCGGGCCGCCTCCTGAAAAATTTCTGCCACAGCGCACACAACATTGAATAACTGTATGCCACTTGGCACTTTCTCTTGAGAAACTTGACTGTGGAATGAGTGGGGCATTAAACCGGAACGAAGCTTTGCTTTTCCCTAAGGAACAGCCACCATCTGTCCCCGCCAGATCACACCATCAATGTCAGGTCACAAGCCAAGGAGTAACAAGTGCAGTTTTGCCAGAGGAACAAAAGGATGCCGCATGTAAAAATTCCCTCTCAGCGCTTTCACCCAGTCAGGTCCATGCATTTGTGCTGGGCCGTAACACCATCAGCACGACTGTCGGATTTCAAGCAGTTTTCGCTGTAATCCATCTTCACGTGTTCAAAAAGCAACATGAGTCACTGTAAATCAACCATTAATATTAGGGACATACAACTGACGCCCCCCCCCCCCACATTTAATTCAGGGGAAAAAAAAAGGATTCCAAAGCATTTTGAAATGAAATGTTAAGGCCTCTGTCTACACTGCATAGGCTGTGAAAGCCATTGCCTCGGATAATTCCTTCATGCATTAAAAAATTATTACTGAGTACCCATTAAGTATGAGATAAACTCCCTCTTTTGTGAAGATTACAAAATTAATCTCTCTAAATGCTCTTCCATAGTCTATGGTGATAGTCCATTTCACATCATCACTTGCATCCCCTTCCCAGCAAATAAAAGATTAGCTATTACGATTTCTTAAAGTTTGCCACATAATACATTTAAATGTCAAAGATGTAATGAACTGAGTGGCTGAAAATTCTTAAGCATGGCCCAGCAACCCCACTGTGATGTCTTTTCAAAGTGGAGACCTTTTAGACCTTTCTGATCATGCAGCCTAACTGGCAAGGCGTCTTGACTAGCTGTCCAGTGGTAGATACTACACAGAAAATACCTGTGATTCAGAAGGAAGACCTTTATTTTTTCACTTCCTCAAGGATTTTCCGAGTCACACTGAAATGCAAGTTGTTACAACAAAAACATTTAACCAAGAATTTTCAAACCATTTGCTGCTTTGATTTCTGAATGCCCAATGATTTGATGTGGTTTCAGTCTTCTTGTCCTTGTGTTCATGTGGCTTTTGGTCAATAGTGAGTTAATAAAAAAGTAAGTCTACTGTGTTTTCTACTGTCCTCCCCATGCCCCTAATTTTTACCCTTGCCGTGGCTGATGTGTTTTCCCCAGCTTCTCTGACCCTCTTCTCCCCACCCAACCCCCCAGATTCTTGGACACACATCATTTGTCTTTTCAGTTTTAGCTCATTAGGTCCAAGACCTCAGGAGCCCCTTCAGTCAGCATTTGCACCTGACTGCACCCTTCTGTGCCTTTAAAACTCAGCCTAAAGTCTACTTCAGGAAGCCAATGGGCTAGAAGCATTTCCTTCCTGGAGCAGTAACTCTATGGCCGAGCTTAACCGACCTATATAATTCTGATCCTGTCTGATTCTTCTCCCTGATTTACTAAATACAAAAGATGATAGCCCAGCCTCGGGCATTTCTCTAATCCAGACCTGCACCGGAATCCCTGCAAAAGCTCGCTGACAATGCCTTCTCATGACTTGCCTGCCTGCTGAATTAGAACCTTAACAGGGCTAAATGATCTATGAAACCAAAAATTGAGAACTCCTGGCCAGAGGGAAAAACAACTGCTACTCAGAAGTCAAATGGGCTACTTGTGCCGTGTTTCTGATGCACATCCAAGTCAACAAGGAGACTGAGCTCAACTCCTTGCCAGTTTTCAGAAGAGAGCCAGGTAAGCTTCTCGCTGCCAGACATGGACCAATCGCTCATTCTCGTTCCTATGGCTCTTCTCAATTCCTAGATTCCCTCTACCTGGCTTCTAAGTCCCTACCTCTGGTATGCACTTTCTTATGATGATCTGGGCTGAACAACTCTCTTTCTTCATAATATTCCAACCACAGGAACCAAAACTGCACTGGGACGGCATGAAAGTATCTTCACCAAGCCATATTTGAACACTTGCTACCACTATTGCATAAGGGAGAAGCCAACTAAATTGTTTTACTTGACTGAAATATAAAAGTGTAAATTCAGTAAATAATTGACTTATACACTATATGGTAATAAATATTCTAATTTTCTGTAACACCTGAAAGTTATAATTGTTTACTCAGTAGATGATTTAGCCATCAGGGACTAAAATAAAAAAGATGCCTAACCCAATAAAGGCAAAATTGTAAATACATTAAGCAGTACGGTACAGAGTACATTATGATGACTAGACCATGCCTTCAAGTCCAGCAAATTCTAAAAATGTGCTCAGCATACATAAAATATACATCTAAGATTTCTCTCATCATAGGCACAATCTAATACAAAAATATATTTGACATTTATAAATTAGAATTTCCATCTGAGAGCTTGCAAAATAAGAAAGGAGAAAAGAGTGACCACAACATAAAAAAAAGCAGCAGCACACACAGATGCAAATAGTTCTACTTGTATGATTATTTTCTTATCAGCAATGGGAAAAGAGCAAGTTACATCAAGCACAGTCACCAAGCAGATCCCAGTCCATTTGCAGATTGGGTGTCTCCAGCTCCTGGCCCTGTAATGGCTAGAACTGCTCAACGTGCATCAGGTTTTAGCCAACCTAAGGGCCCAGTGCTCTCATACTGTGGTCTTGCTACTTTGGGTCTTTAGCATCTTGCTCCACCCCATCCACGGTTTCCCACTGGAGGTGGGGCAAACGGGTTATCTGAACAGAGGCTGGAACAGCCCTAGGCTTTGACTAGGAAAGAAAACCATGGTTGTCAGAGTGAACTATGAGTTGAACACAAACTTACTTGAAATCCTGAAATCCCTATGGGGAAATGAAAGGAGTTTTTACAGTAAGTTATATAAGGTTTGTTTTTTAAAAATTGAAAGCACAAGACTCTGCAGTCTTTGAACAATAGTTTGAACAATAGTTGAACTGAAAGTTCAAGTAGGAATGACTAGAAAAAGAACTTCATGATTCGTAAGACTCCACCATCATCACAGAGAAGTTTGCCACATAGACTATGAATGAAAAAAAGAAGAAAAATGATAATAGGCATATCTGGAAGAGTCATAATGCTCTTCCCTATAGTCACTGCCAGTACTTTCGGATATTCAATTTTCCCTTCAGAAAAGTTTCCTCTGAACTCATTCAGTGAATTTATGATAGTGGTATTTTCTTTCTTGCTAGTGCCTAAAATCCACACACAACCTACAGGTTGACTACAGTGTGACCCATGTTGTGCCTTTGCTGGATAAATTACCTCTGACAAAAGGCCTTAGTGGTCACCCACCGGGACCCCTCCTGCCTTTCAGGCGCTGTTCCCATTCCCCAATAAACCTTTCCTACTCTTCAAAAAGTCTGAAAATAAAATACACATGTGATGGACAGTAGGAAGTCCATCTAAGAAACACTTTCAAAAGTGTCCACTTAGAAGCGATCCGTAACAGAAAGGAGGAAGCATTAAGGGGTGAGTTAGCGAAGTCAGTGTGGGGCTTCTGCCAAGAAATTCCTCCTCAGAACAAGATTAAATTTGCCCACATTCTAGCTGTTTATCTTATATTTCATTTTATAAATATTTAGATATTAATATCATGAGTTCAAGTCTCAGCCAAAAAGATGTAAATGAAGGATATGCTAAAATGATATTCTTGAGCTCAATATAAATTTAAAAAACAAAGATTGAGCCACATTATAGCAACGATTCTTTTTTTTTTTTTTTTTTTTAATGTATCTGGTACAGGATCTCACTAAGCAACTCAGACTCGCACTGAGCCTCCTGTTTCAGCCTCCCCAGCACTGGGATTATAGGATGTCCACCACATACTGTCTCCCGGTGGCTGGCTAGGGACACTTAGGGCGGGGATCATACCCAGTTCCTGGGCTTGCCTACGCAGGTGCTTAGACCACTGAGCTATCTCTGCAGCCTTATAGCAAAGATTCTTTAAAGTGACTGAGGTATTTAGTTCCTTTAAAACCATGAGTGTTTAGTCCTGGATATAGTGGTAAAGTAAATATTAATAAAAATTCACAATGAAGGGATAAAAGAACTCTGATCTGCTAAAATATCAAACAACCCGAGCTGGGGGAACTGACTCAATTCTGGCAATGTGTAGCTCATCAAATAACTTCACCATCAAATATTTTGAGGCAAAAGCCTACAGTCAAGAAAAATCCTTCTAATTAATCTGTTAAAAGATTTCCAAAAATGTGGCTACTACATATTTTCACAAAGAAAGAGAAATTCCTAAAATGGAGGTGTTATGTATGTAATCTACAGACAGGGCTTTCTAAGAGATTAACCAACAGTCATGCTCTTGGTTATAAAGTTGTCTTCTAGCTACCCTGCTTGGCAGGCTTTCACAGCACAACCAGTGCTCATCACGCCCAAGCATTCTGTAGACAATGTGGAGATGAATGTTTTAGATGTCACAACTTCAGCTGAAGAACATTTGTGCTTTTAATACAATAACGTATGGAATTCTGGGTTAATGTATTTAAGGTTTTAATATGTGTAGGATTTTTATATTAATATGTTTAAGGTTTTATTCCCTTCAATAAAAGAATATTACTTTGGTTGCCAGGGAAACTATTTTCTACTTATTGTTTCATTAATACCAGGAATAGTTCATTGGAATAAACCAATTAGCCTTTTTGTGCTTGAGTTTCACTGCCTGTAAAACGGGATAAGAGTATCTGTACTGGGCCAGGGAGATGGCTCAGTAGAATAAGCGCTTGCGTGGCAAGCGCAAGGGTCTGAGTTCAATCGCTGGTTCTGAAAAAAAAAAAAAAAAAATCTGTACTAATTATTCACAGGAATATTTTGAAGCTAAAGTAAAATGCTAGAATGCACTTTTATTTTTTAAAACACAATATAAATGCTATCGTTAATAACAGTATTGATAATGTCACAGGTACCATGTCATGTGACCTATTCAGGCGTGTGCTTAAGGTAGGCATTCCTATGAGGTCACAGGATGAATATTTAGTTCGATTTTATTTTAAAAATAATAAATCACAAAACTAAAATGTTTGAACAAGGTCACTTAACCCTCTCCCCAGGTGGCTGGATATATCACCATGCCACCACCACCACCACCGCCACCATGGCCACCGACACTGCCATCACCACCATCATCACCACCATCAATTTTTAGGTACATGGTTAAAAGAGGAGATCTTTAATATGTCAGCTTTGTTGGGAAAACGTGTCCCTGGCACAGGTGGTCTGCAGAAGAAAAGCCGATCTTCACAAGAGCTCTGTCCTCTGCTTTGATTTGAAAGTGTGGCCCTGGGTAGGGAGGGACGGTGCCATCTCAGGCGGGTCACTGAGGAACCAGTTCCCTCAGAGAGGCCAGTGCGGCATGGATGCGGACGTGCAGTCTGTTTTCAAAGTCGTAGCCAGAGAAATCCTCCTGTGGAGCCAGAGAGAGATGTGCGTGGATGGTTAGCTGAGTTGGCCCAAGGAGATGGGAGAAGCCCCGTGCCACTGCATCCCCTGTCACATTCTGTACACTCCTGGGACAGGTTGACATCCACTTGGTTTTTTGCTGAAACTTCATACTCTGTACTTAGGTTTTAAAATGTAAACTGAATGTTGATAAAGTTCTCTTCGGAAAAATTTTCTGATTATTATTGAAACAGTAATTTTATTTTATTTTTAATTAGTTAATTATTTATTTATTTTGTGTGTGTGGCCAGCTCAGCCCACCAGGGGGTGGGACTGGCTGGCATGTGGGGCTGGGGATTGAACCGCAGTCCCTGTGCTTTTGCTTAGCTTAGCTTGTTCTAAGTAGGTGCTTTAGACCACTGAGCCATCTCACCAGCCCTGAAACAGTAATTTTAAACTAGTCTAAGAAATTCTTATTTTATTTTGGGTGTGTTCCAGGGATCAAACTCAGGACCCTGCACTTGCCAGGCAGGCACTTATGCTGCTGAGCTATCTCCTTGGCCGACAAAATTCTTAATTTAAGGACATGGTTATGAAATCAAAAGTCCCATTTTTTTTCTGGAGCAGCGCAAAACACTGCATGTTTATATTCCCGCCTTGGGAGGCGGAGACAGAAAGCTCACTTGGACCCAGAAATTTGAGACTAGCCTTGCAAGAAGTGAGACCCTCCCTCAAAAACTTAAAAAAGTTCATTTGCTCACCCAAACACTAAGACTAAAGCATTTATAAAACAGGCTGGAGACTGATAGGAATATCTTCGTTTTGTTTTGCTGAGACAGGGTCTTGCTGTGCAATTCAGGCTGACCTCGAACTCCTGGCAATCCTCCTGCCTCAGCCTCTCAGGTGGTAGAATTACAAGCGTGTGCCACCATGTCTTGTTGGAATATTTTACAATCTTGGAAATTTTACTTACAAGCCAAGCGCTCACTGAATTAACCAGTTCTCTCATGCCCTTTCCAGCACTAACCTGGAATGGTACATCTCTATACAAACATTCAGATGCACAGTGAACAGGAAAAGAAGGGCCATGGGAAAGAGGGAGATTCAGGACTTTTACCTTTGCTTGAAGAAGTAGAGTTCTGCCTCTTCCTACAGTCTAAATATAAGAAAAACATGTTATCTCTTAGTGGGCACATTCATTTATATTCAAGCAGAAAATGTTGCCATAGGAGGGCATGGGAACTAAGTCCCCAGGACAGATAGATATAGATATAGAGATATTAAGGCTACATGAAGAGTAAAAACTTAAGGTAAAGAATATGGTCATAGAGGTTTCTATCTAAATTTGCAAAAACTGCATTTTCTGCTGGGTATAATGACCGTTTCTCTCAAATTTGTCTCTGTTTGAAAGTCATGCATGTAACTCAAGTTCCAGCAAGGACACAGTCTCCTCAAAGACACTGAGACAGAGCCACAACCTCCCCGGACCCTTCCTATGTATAACTGAGGAAGGCAAGAAAACCAGAGGGCTCTAGGTTCACTTTTTTTTTTAAAATGAAGGATGCTTTGCACCTGCTTGTGTGTATATCTTGCCAAACGTTATTAAAATCTACATGTAATACTTTACCTCTGGTTTGTCCAATAGGAGACAGCCAAGTTCGTAGCAAGCATACGGCTGAACGTACAAGTTATTCTGACGACACAATTCGTCTTTAGCAGCCCGCTGAAAGAACTGAAAAATATACAAATGTTACTGGAACAAATTCATTTTCCTCCTTGGTGTAAGGCTCGTCACAACCCAGGAGCTGTGACAGAGATTAGATTTTCTGTCCCTCTCTCCTCTCTTCCTTCCTATCCCTTCCCTGCCCAGCTCAGAACTCGTTCACATGCCTTCCTGATAAACTTCCAACAGAGTATGCTGCCCACCAGTCAGCCTAATTCGTGCAAGTTATTTTTCCAACTCCTACCAATACTGCTGCTAATAAAATAAAATAAAATCTTTATCTGCATTTAAAAATCTAAACATTCCCATTTTAATATTTAAGCAAAAAACCTCTCCTGACGTGTTTCAAGCGTGTCTTGCTGGTACCTAAGCACATGATCTATTTAGGGCCATGAAATAACTATCATACTTGCACACTACAAAATCAGATTTAAAATGTAAGCAGGTTAGCATTCTAGGATTGAAAACACAAGGCCCCTATTACTCTCCATGAACTCTTCCAAAGAGTGGTCAGAGTAACATTGGAACAAAAACTAATCGAGTGGGGGGCCAGCACGGCTACAGGGCACCTGCCCAGCATGTCTGAGGCCCAGCGTCTGATTCCCAGCTGAGGCCAGAGGCTTAGGTCCCACATTAGTGATCTCTAGATGTAAGAGTGGAAAAGTGAACACTCACTAACACACCTGATCGCTTTAGTTTTTGCTTAACTACGAGACTGCATTCTGCACCTTCAAATGGTCTGCCTCACCTCTTCCCCTCAAAACTGTCAGCTCTGATAAGTAGCTTGCACCAGAAAAGAGGCCATGTATGAAGAAGTCCTAGAAATCCAGTTACATGAAAACCATCACTTCACCCATCATCAGCTCCTAGTGCCTGCAGAAACGGCATTAATCAAAGCAGACCCAGCTCTTGTTGTAGTGGGAGGCGAGGCTGTAGTGAGCGCTCTTCCCCTTTTCCTCACAAGCATGAATGTGGATAAGGTCGTGGCTTACTCTGCTTCAGCCACCACACAGTGACAGCTCACCTGAGCAGCATCTTCTGAGTTCCCCAGACACTTGTGTATGGCACCGAGGAGCAAATACTTTAGGCCAACAACGGACGAGTCATCCACTTCGTGGCAGGCTTGGAGGGAAGGGGGGGGCATGAGAGCCAAAGAAAGGAAAAGAAAGAAGGAGCCACGCAGTTAATTGCTTAGATATTGCCCATTCTTAAATGACTGTGTTACTCTTCCTCTACATCTTCAGCTCAGGCTTCTGCCTCAGAAGCTCAGAAAGCCCCCATTCCTCATCCATTACTGAGTATCCCCAATTAGAGAAAGACAGAAAAGCCAATCTCTCATGAGCCCAGCACACAGACAGAGAGAGAGAGAGAGAGAGAGAGAGAGAGAGAGAGAGAGAGAGAGAGAGGAAGTAGAGAGAGAAAGCTGTAAGATTTAAGGCCCAGGAGATTTTTTTCATTCATTTTAAAACTTGTTAGTGTATTCCATTGAGACTAGAAGCTTGAAATACATGCTATATATTCTATTCACTTAGCTGAGTACCACGTCAAATGATTTGGGCTTTTGTTGGAACCTACTCATGTATCCTGAATCTTATGAACAGTCTTTATGTTTAAAAGAAAAACCTCACAATTTGTATTACGTTGTTATTACATGAAAGAAGCTAATCTGAAAAGACCACACACTGCAGGATTCTAACTATGTGACATCCCAGAAGAGACAAAAGTATGGCGACATTAAGAACAGTGGCTGCCATGTTGAGCGAAGGAGCAAAGAGCCTGCAGTGATGGGCTCAGCCCTTCTGCCCAGGGTGACAATGGTTCTGGGGATAGTGGGTGTCAGCTCTGGGTCACTGATGATGACGCAAGCAGGAGGCTCACCGTGAGTCTGAAGCCAACCCGGGCTACACAGTGAGTTCAAGGCCAGCTGCTGCACTACCTCGTGAGGCCGCATCTTCAAACTTCTTGGCATTAAAAATGAAGTGAAATAGACATTTCTCCAGAGAACACACACAAATGACCAACAGATGTATGAAAAACTGGGCTCAACAATCTTAGCGGTTAGCAAATGGAAATCCAGGTCCCAAGGACGTATTACCTCCTATCTGCTGGGATGGCCATGAGGAGCAAAACAGAACAGATGGACAAATGCTGGCGTGCACGGGGAGAGACCAGAGCCCTGCCACTGTGGGAAGGATGGTGTGGCTGCCGTGGCAAGCGGGCCGGTGTGCCCTCAGACACAGACAGCACTAACACCCCATCTAACAAACTCACCCGGGAGTTTGTCTCACAGCACCGAGACCAGAGCTCAAAGCCATCCTGCAGCCCCATGTTTGCTGCGCCATGATTTGCAATAGCCAAGAGACCGAAGCCATGTGAACACTCGCCATCAGGTGACTAAGGAAGGTGCGGTGCATACACACCATGGAATGTCATTCAGCCTTTAAAAAGAAGGAATTCTTATTGCATGCAACAACTGGGGTAAACCTGGGGACGCGATGCTGAGTGAAACAAGCCAGCCAGGGAAGGCCAAAGCTCCCTCTTACGTTAGTGGAAATGGCCCAATTCACAGCAGCAGGCGGCATGTTTTTGGTCAGTTGCTGGTGGAATCCCCAGGTGCAGAGCCTCACGACCTGCAGCCCTGCGTCTACACGCACGCAAGCATGCACGCACGCACACCAGACATGTACAGATGTTCCCTTATTGGTGCAGAAATGCTTCTTTGGAGGGTCGCCACAAGCCACAGTGACTCTTGGCTTTTTGCAGAGGTGGTGTCTGGGGTGAAGAGACGGTGACTCTTTGCTTTTCACTCCTTGGAACAGTGTGACTATTTCCACTAATTGTGAATTCCTTAAAATATTAAAGCATTATGATGCTAGCAATAAATAAAATGTAGGGGGCTGGTGAGATGGCTCAGTGGTCTAAAGCACCTACTTAGAACAAGCTTAGCAAAGCACAGGGACCGCGGTTCAATCCCCCAGCACCACATGCCAGCCAGCCCCGCCCCCTGGTGGGCTGAGCTGGCCACACACACACACACACACACACACAAATAAATATAATTTTTTTAAAAAGTTAAAAATAAATAAATAAAATGTAGGAAATCCAGGAAAAGAAATATTCCAGGCCTTACCAATCTTACATGTCAGGGGAAACAAATGATGCAAAAGACAGGCAGGTAAAGAATATTTGTTAAATAAAAAGTGCTAAGATAAAAAACCAGTCAGGAAGGGGAGTGAGACTGTGTGCAGGTCCAGCCTCACAGACAAGGGAGCATGAGTAAGACGTGGGCAAGTGCGTGCAGGAGCCAGGTGGGCACCGGGGAAGAGCCTCTTGGCACAAGGAGAGCACGTGCAAAGGCCGCGGGGCCAACTGTGCTGGGGGAACCGAAGACAGCATGGCTGGAGCCCAGGGACCCAGGGACGGCAGCAGTGGTCACTGCCCACCACCGAATGAGGTCAGCGTCTTCTGCATGTGATGGTGAACTGTAGAGGACTCCGAGAATCAGGGTGACACTGTATGACTCAGAGTGTAACAGGGCACCGTTTGTTCTGCCAAGAGCACACAGCAGTACGCAACACGAAAGATGGCAGCAGGTGGGTTGGCGGCAGGATGCAAACTCCAGCACTCCAAGGCCAGGGTCAGTGGCCTCCCAGCACAGCTGACAAGGGCTGCTACAGATAGGGACCTGACACGCTCCACACACACCACTCTGAGGCTTGGTGGACAGCCTAACGAACGCTTGTAAACCATGCCGTGGGCTCTCGGGTCTTCCTCTGCAAAGACCCACGCTGCGCTCCCCAGGGCTGGGTGCCTTTGAGCATTACCACCCAGCACTGGGGAACGACAGCAACCAATGGACAGAGCCCAGAGTGGGTTGGCGTTCTAAAAAGTTACTCAAAAGCAATCTCATATCCACTGCAGGCTGCCTCCTTCTCTACAAACAGACGTTTGCTGTTTGTTCATTCTGAAATCTGGAAAGGGGTTTAGAGAATATTTAGTCAAGAATCATGTAAGTGGTAAATATTCTGTGCCTTTCAATTACTGCCTGCCTTACACTTCATTTCTGTTTTAGTTTTCTCTCAATATAGGACCCTGCACTTGTGCAATTAAAAAAATCCTTGAGATCCTTCCTTGTTCCTTCAAGGTAGATGTTGGTAGACAGACCACACTTGCTTTCACAAGGGAAGAACTTTAATTATGCAAATCTTTTTAAAATGACCACAGTAGAACTTAACATACCAAGAAAACGACTTTTCTTTTCTAACTGGGAGGTTGCACACCTGCTGTCCCCATGGGGCCACTGAATGAAACTGCTTTTAGAGTTCTCTTTGCTCCCTGGAATATCAACATTGGAAAATTTCTGACCTATGAGGGCAAACTTTCTTGCTTTTGTTTACATACAGTAATAGGCAAATTCGTCTGTAGGAAAGTATGATAAAAACATGTAATTCAACAGATAATAATATATTGGGTCAAAAACAAGTGCGACCACAGAAAAATCTGCTGAACGTTCTACCTTGGCTGATGGATAATTTCTAGAATAAACCAAGATGGTCCTGCCAGATCTCTTTTGGGGAGGGGCAGCATAGGTATATGTGTGAATGAGAATCCGTTCCCCAAAGAGGCTCTCTATGAAGCCATCCTGTTGGAGACATGAACTCGACTTTCAGCGGCCTCGGCTTGCGGTCACACCCTCCTGATGATGGTGAAGCTGTATGTGTGGGTGCAAAAGCCATTCCCCATGATCAGCATGCTGTCCTCAGATCAGAAGTAGAGACACCAGCCCCCGGGGAGACCTGGGAAAGTCACCAGGCTGTCCAGAGGGCATCTGCGCGTTGTGACATGGACATGACCACACCGGCTGCCTTTCCTACATCCACGGCTCCACTGCGGAGCTGGTGCTTTGCTGAGCTACAAAATGCCATTCTGATGCCTACATGGAAGCTTTACAAGAGAGGTTATGTTATTTCTTTGGTAATCAACAAAACTCCACTTTCATTACAAATTTATGCTGCAACAAAAATAGCTTTATCATAGTTACCGATGGCTTATGGGTTTTCTAAGTCATGAATCAAAAGCTGCAGGTTTATAATTACATTCCTAGGTACTTTCCCAAGTGAAGCAAATGTGTATGTCTCTGCAAAAAGATTTGTAAATTTGTGCTGCACACTTCCACACGTAGCAGTTGTACTCTTGCTGTTAAAAATGTCTGTCAGTAGGAGAATGAGTGCGTGAAGAGCAGCGCAGTGCAGGAAGGGCCCCGCACTGGAGCACCACTCAGCAATGAAAGAAACGGCCTGCAGGTGCAGGCACCCCACGGATACATCTCAGACGGACAGGTGAAGCTCTGCACGAGAAAGCAGATCCTGTATGAGTACAGTTATATCAAGTTCAAGGACAGGCCGAATGAACCCATGAATGTAGACCCTAAAGCACAGGAGAAATGTCAGGGGCAGTGGGAATGTTCTGTCGTGACTGACCATGGATGCTAGGCTATTTGTCATAAATCATTGAACTGGACGCCATGTCACCATGAGCAGACACGTATATATAAAGTAACGTGGGGCTTGCACTGGAAATCCTTGCACTCTGGAAGGCTGAGGTAGAAGGATTACAAGTTTAAAACTAGCCTGAGCAACACAGTGAGACCCTGCCTCAGAAAGAACAAAACAAAAATGAAAAAAAGGGCTATAGTGTAGCTTAGTATGAAGGCTCTGGGTTCAACCCCCATTACAGCAAAATTGAACAAACCACAAAGTACTTTTATAGGGAATAAGCTACATAAGCTCAGCATATGCAGTAAGCCCCGTAACTGTGGAGCTGAAGACACGTGTAGGCAGGGCTCCACCTCATCCCCCTAATGGGGTGAGCATGTGTATCCACCCCAGCGCTCCCACCCCAGCGCCGTGAGACAGCACAGCCTGCCCAAGGCCTTTATCCTGGAAGGACAGAGCCGCACTGAAGATGCTGACGGACATCAAAAGCAGCCCGCAGCTGTTCTTACCCTGACTCATCCTCTGCAGGCTGGAGAAGGAGCAGTTGGGCAGCGCCTTCCACAGGTACAACACCTCGATGGACGCCAGCACACACAGCACGGTGGTGGGGGTCTGCTTCCGAAACCTCTCCGCCTGCAAGGAGTCAGTCTGGTCAGGCTCTGTATTTTAAGAACTGTTTTAAATCTAAAATACACCCGGGAGACATGATGGAGAGGGCTCACTGCCAATGCGAACGATCCTCTCCTCAGAGCTGAAATGAAGAGTCGTGTATATTTTAAAAAGATTTGCTCTAATTTTGCTGCAATGTGCCTCAGGCTCAGCACTGCACTCAGCCTCCTCCCGAGGTGTATGTGTGCTGAACACACGGCGTGGAGACCAGACTCCTACAAACCTCCGCATTTATAGTATAATACAGTAGCCCGGCGGGCCTGTGTGGACAATGTGAGACTGCATGCATTTCAGCCACAGATTGATCAACTTTTAGATGTTCTCCTCAGTCGCAGGCTCTCAGTTGCATTCCAAATCAGAATCTCACTTATGCTCCAATAAACTCATGAAGTACTCCCTCAATAAAGACTAATAAAATTAAAAAACAAAACCAAAAAAACTGCTCATGCAGTAAAAAGAAACTCAAAAACTGAAATCATGGATAATTGAGGCTGACATGCTTCTTAACTCAAGGCAATTTAGTGAAATCCTATTCTTGGAAGTGCAGGGTAACTTCGGGTCACGGCTCCAGTGCGGGGCTTTCCACTGGCCACGCTCACACTCCTATTCTGTTATCACAGCAAACCGTGACACGTCCCATCTCGAGGGCCAGTGCGCCTCTTCTGGGTTCTTCCAAAACTACCTCCCTGGCAGGCACACAGCCCCCTCCAGACAGGTCCCCAGGTCTGCAGGGCCTGCAGTGCCTATTCATTTTGTAGTTTTCCAAATCTGCTTTCATTATTTGAAGCGAAAGGAGCACTTCTGACTCAGAGCAGAAGACTGCAGGAGCACATTCCTTCCTTGGGGCTGAACCGCATGTTGTGGGCCATGTAAGTCACCAGGTTTGCGCACGGCCCCCAAACCTTGTTCCAGTGGTGGGGGTTACGCAGCCCATGATACACACTGCACCAGGTCCACCAGTTCCAACGTACCTTTTTCACTGAGAACTGTTCAATCTGATTGTTTTTCCTTTTGAAGAGTTTCTGAACTTCTTTAAAGACCATCTGTGCCCCATCCACATCACCTGTGGCTCCCTGACAAACTGTAAGAAACCAGAATTGTGTTTCTCAAGTCTCAAGCAGAACACATACGTCAGTAAGTGAAGCCTGCAGTGATGAGGGCAGCAAGAACCGGGAACAAATGGGGCTGAACGCTGCTACACAGAGGACACAGAGGACTGTCCCATCCTGCCGGCTGTCACCCCTCCGTTCAGCTATTGCACAGGTGCCTGCGTTCTCTCGCTGGAGGACACCTTTGTATGTGACAAAATCCTAACTACCGCGCAGTGTATGCATCCTACATGGAGCCCACACGCTCAGAGAGTGGAACAACAAGGACTCTAGGAAGGACAGTGGGTGTTCAGGGGATCAGAGAGGCACATGAGGCATCCCTGTCCTGGGGGAAAAGTCATGAATTAGTCCTGCATGTGTTCATCTCCCACCAACCTCCACACGCTTCCAGTCAGCGCATGAAGAAGCGGCACACAGGCCTGCACCCCAAAGATCTCAATCTCAGCTGTAGGGATCGTACACATAGGTCCATAGCTATGCAGCATATGGTGACAGCAGGCCAGAGGGCAGGAGAACCAGAGCACTTTTAGAAAAGCTGGGGAGAGAAGGCTCTTTTCCTCCGTGGTATACAGAGAGCTGGGAGAGGTCAGGCTGAGCCTCGCAGCACGGTAGTGTTTGAGAGCAGCGCACATCTGCATCCGACCCTGGGGCCCACGTGGACGTGGCTTCCTCTTCCCTCCCTCTTCTCCACACCCCACACCTGGCACTCGCCCCAGCTCCTTCATGATACTTGCTCTCCCTTCTCTCCACCCCTCTGATGCGGAATTTACTTCTGTTCATGTTTCATTAGTTACTGTCTTGGCTCTAGGTTTTTTTTTACTCCCCAGGTGGAAGGGTCTGAAGCTGACTTGAAAATTCCACCTCTTTTCTCCAACGACCCCTAGGACCAGGAGGCCTTGTGCTTCCCTGTGCGCCTGGTGAGGCAGAGCACAGGCGTGGGACACGTCAGAGGCTGGGTCCTATCAGCAGGACGGAGAAAGCAGAAGCAATTTCTGCAGAAAGCTGAGGATGTGAGGTGGCAGGAGGGGCAGGAGACTCCTGGGAGTCAGGGCTTAGGCTGAAGCATCCAAGGAAGAAATGACCCCCTTGCAACCAGGGGCACAGCCCCGGCCAGCAGCAACCCCAAAGGACCTCGTGGGGTGTGGCAGCAGCATCTCGGCACCAGAAGGAAGCTGCCTTGTGTAAGCAACCTCATTATTTTATTGATCAGGGGACACAGAGGTCCAGGAAGTGAAGGGCAACAGAGAGAAAGAGGGAAGGGAGAGAGGGAGGCCAGGGTGCTGTGGACCTGCTTGGTGCACTACAAGCAGGCAATAATTAATATTAATAAATTGGCACAAAAATAAACTGCAAGTCTCTCCCTGGCCTACATGACTTGTGGTGAGGGCGCTGGCTGGCTAAAGGACACGTTAATCTCGAGTCAGAGCTAAGACCTGCAAATAGCTTGCAAAGTAGCAAAGAAAGATAACTTGTGACTTGTGCAAATTCCGCCTAGCTCTGTAGCAGCAGGGGGCAATCAGGTCACCAGCTAACCGATCTGCTCCTGGTGCTTTTCCAGTAACGCACCGCTCCTCCACCCCTGAGCCTCGGCTGGCCAGCCGGCCGGCCGTGTGGGCAGTTCACCCCCTGCCTCCTGCAGCTGCTGGCACCTCCTCCCCCACCAGCTACGCCCCAACCCTTGTTGCCCCCCAGCCCCACCCCCACCCCCTTCTACCACTCCCCCCAGCTCTCCACTCCCATCAAGCTGTACACCTAGTAACAGCCAAAGACACCAGCCTCGTGGGCCCAGCCCAGCACTGGGTTTTGACCATCCTGGTGCCCCTTGTAACTAAAATATATGTGTGCCTGTGTTTTGCCCTGAGCAAGAGATCGGTAGACCCGGGGCCTATGGAAGGGGAAAGAGAAAATCAACTAGGGTTGAAAACACCCCAAACGGCCTAAAATCGCAATGCCTCAGAGCCGGAGGAGTAGAAGAGCTCCACCTAACTTCTCTTGCAGACAGCTGGAGGTTCTTTCTAAGGTGGAGCTGGGAATAGGTCCTAAGGCTTTTTCACCAGGCTACATCCTCACCCCTTTTTAGTTTTTAAATTTTGAGAGAGGGTAAAACTATGCCAATCTTAGCACCAAAAAAAAGTCTGGGTTAGTCTTGAACTTTAAGAATCACTTATGTGGCCGAGTAAGGAGAGTTCATCATTACAGAAACCGGAAAAGGTATCCATACAGTTTCTTAAAGGCAGGAAAGTGAAACTCCTCTGGTTCTGCACCCCTACAATTCCAAGCCATGCAGCGCTTCTGTTTCACGGGAGCAGATAACACCTTTGTCCACTAGGTGGCAGTGTATCCTCAACTATCTCATACAAGGGCCCAAAACCCTGTGAAACAGAAATCATAGGTGTTCAAACACCAGGCCTTCATAACATGGCACTGTAATACAAAGGAATTAATCGGACGGAGCAAGACTCAAACATATTCAACTTTCTAACACAGGACACCTACCAAACAAATATAGTAACATGATAAAAAGACATGTTCAATTCTCAAAAATTATTGAAAATTCCTAATTAAAAAATACAGCAAAGGCAGAAAGGGAATAAAGGAAGGTGGAGGCCATGAATGGCAAAATGTCCCAAATCTAGGAACCCCTCAGGATGGTTATTTCTGAGACAGAGCAGAGGACTGCACAGGTACAGCAGGAAAGGTGGGGCTGCGGGCCGTGGGGAGCGGCTCGGACTCCAGCTCCAGCTGGCTCAGTGAGCAGTTCTCTCCACTGCTGGGTGCCACTGTGCAAAGCGCTAACACGCTGCAGAAGTCCAAGCTGCATGCCCTCCTGCCACGGCACTCTGTCTGCCAGGGCAGGGCGCAGGCAGGCGGGGCCTAGCCGCGTGGCTGGCTACTTACCTGCAGTCAAATACGCGTAGTAGCACTGTGACCACCTGGACTCACTCTTCAGCCTCTCGAAGGAACCAAACGCGTCCTTGAAGTTGAGCTCGATCATGCTGCACCAACCTACAGAAGTCATACTTTAGCATCTGCCCCAAGCACGGCGCGCTGCGGCTCACGGGTCAGCAAGCGATCTGAAGCTGCCAGCTATCCCTGTCTGGGAATGTTTTGGGAACCACTTAAGAAACTTACCTTGAAAACATAAGAAACTTTTTTTCCCCTTAAATACTTTCAGACAAGGCCCTTAACAACAGATTGAGCAGTAGATGGATACCCCGCGACTGCCTCAGAAAGTCTCAGGCGCTCTCTTCATCATTAACACTAAGCTGTCAAGCCTCTGAGAGCAGCAGAGAACAAGCCAGTCGGGGGGACGCAAGCCCCACCCTTTCTCTGCACATGGGGGTGGTGAGCGAGGGGCCCTGCCAAGGCAGTGAGACCCTGGCCTTCTGTAAGGAGCAGCAGCACTAAGACCAACGCTTGGGCTCTCACGGTTATCGCGGGGCTGCCGCCAACCAAGCCCCCAGGGTACGCCAGCCTGCGGAGAATTCCCGCCGAGCCTTGGGGCAGTCTTGCCGTGGCAGCTGACAGTGACCTCCTCATACTGGCGAGGACACAACCAAGTGGACCAACAGGTCAGTGACTGGCTCAAGGCCAACCAACTGCTAAAAGGGAAGAACTGGGGACCAAAGTCCAACACTCTGCCCTTTATACACGGTGGCCTCTAAAAAACAATCCTGGCATCAAGTGTATCCGTAAGGCACCTCATCACCCTGGACTTGCCATTCATGCTGTGAGGGCGGGGGGGGCACGTGCCTCCAGAAAACAGCTGTGAAATTCGATGGGGTACAATGTATTTCAGAGTAAAATTTTAGGCGCATTATTTTCATCCTATAAAAGACATCAGGGTGAGACTCGAATTGAACAGAACAGGCAGAGCGGCACCCTGAGCTGCTTTCACCCTGAGTCTGCTTCCCGGCCTGGGCTGGGTGACCCTGAGCTTCCTCTGCTCTCACATGCTATCCTGTCACAGGCTGTGCAACGGTGCCCCAGCAAAGGCTGCCCAGGCTGGGCTTTAGGGGCATGGCTACTACTGCAGGCAAGTCCAGAAGAGCTCAGCACACACAAAACTGGGCTCCTCCACTGACTGTAGGCATTTCTCTTCCTGAGGCCTAAGAGGCAAGGAAAACAGAAAGCTCACAGGAAAGTTCCCAGTATCTGCCTCCGTACTTTGACTTTAAAACGACTCAGGAAGACCACAGTGTCGACAGCAGATGAGGCGAGTGGCAAAGCATGCTAGGGTCTGGAGGTGACAGCTGACAGCTGCTTCAGCCCTCTGCAGAGGGGCTGCCAAGTGCCCATTCGTGCTGAACCTGGGATTCCCAACCTGCTTCTCCTCACTGCCCACCTTCCTCATGCTTTGCCTGTATGCGAAGATGGGGCTGACCTGCCGTACAAGGTTGGAACACTAAGTATGAACCTTTTTTCTTTTCCAATTTACAGCTATTTTTTTTTCTTTTTTAATGTATTTAGTGCAGGGTCTACAGGGTCTCACTACACAGCTGGGACTTGTAGTCATCCTCATTTCCAGCCTCCCAAGCACTGGGATTACAAGTGTGTGCCACCATGCCCAGTCACAATCACCATCTCAGCACGCCCTAGGGATGGGGCTGGCACAGCATGCTGGGGATCGAACCCCTGCCCCTGAATTTGCCTAAGCGGGTGCTTTAATCTGCTGAGCTATCTGCCTGGTCCATTAGCTTTTAACTTCTTTAAAACCATTTTACCCCAAATCAAGCCACCAACAACACATAATTCTGGGGCCAACATCTAACTCTTCTAAGACCCACTCATAGGGCACACGGATGACACTCAGCAGCTGCCTGAGAGGTGGTGAAGGGCTGCAAACCCCACTCTGCAGTGCTCAGCCCCGCTTGGTGACGACCCCAGCCCAGCACCCTGATGGCCCCTACTGCCGCAAGAGCAGGAGCTGGTGTCTACTGCAGTGGCTGCTACACCTCCAGCTTGGCCTGGAAAGGCAGGGATAATGCAGCCCTAGCCCACGAGGCCCTTGTTTAAAAAAAAAAAGAAATATGTTTTTTGTTTTAAGCCCAATGCTGGGCTTCCTCTTGTCAGAACGGTGGAAAAACATGACAGAAAAGGATTTGCCTCATGTGCCAGGGTCAGAGAGTTGAGGGCACTCAGGAAAAGTCTGAGCAACACTTTGAGAGAGGAAGGAAGAAGCCTTAGGCAAAGAACCACCCCCAAATCTGCTTAGGAACTGATCTCTGGCACGGGGGAAGCAGCAGGGAGCAGCTGCGGTACCAGCAGGCTTCCTGTCTGAACCCCACAGCTTCTGTGGGGGTGCCTCACCCCAAGACAACGTCCACTGCCTCAGTGCTGGTCAGTGGGAGAGCTGGCATTGGGGTCTAATACTCTCCAGTGCTGTTTTCTTCTCAAAAAAGCACTGTTAGAAATGAAAAGCAGCTCTGTATTCCAATGTGCAGTCCAGGAAGCTCTTTACAAATGGCTATAGTGTTACCGGTGAGAAGATTCAGCGAGGTAAGGATCATTCCTCGTGCTGGGTCCCAATTAATGAAGTCACTATTACACAAGGTAGCATTCTGCAGACCGAGCAGCGTCACAGATGAAAAGCTGCACCAGAGAGCCTCGGCACCGCTGTGCAAGGGCCAGGGAAACACTGCACGCTTACCAATTTCATAGAGACAGACATGCTGGATTTCTCTCTGATCTACTGCAAGCTCCAAAGCCGTATGGAAAGAAGTCAAGGCACTGTTGATCTGACACTAGGGCAGAAAAGGGAAAACAGAAAAGGAACCGAGTGACTATTAAGATCTGCCATTAACATCATAGTCATAATTCAAAACCATCTTTTTCCTAAATAGTTATTTACAGGATAAAACAGGATAGAAGAGGGCGATGTAGGGATTGCTAAGAAAGCCCTCCAATTTGCCACGCAGTGTTCTGGGACTTACATAAGCACAAAGGACTTTTTTTTTTTGGAGACAGTGTCTCGCTGTGTAGTTCAGGCCAGCCTTGAGCTCACTGTAGTGCAAGCAGGCTGCAAACTCTTGGCAGTCTTTCTGCCTCAGCCTCCCAGTGCTGGGATCACAGGTGTGCACCACCCGTACCTGGCTCTTCTGGTGACAAGTGTCTCAGTACGCTGCCCTGGTTGGTTTCAAGCCAGCCTCCTGCCTCAGCCTCCTGAGTAGGTAGGGGTCACAGGTGTGCACTTCTGTAGTCACATGGTTGGGGGCAGTGGATTCTATGGCAGGTCCCAGCTCACGCCCACCCACTACCACAGCGTGGGCCGAAGCTCTTCTTTTATTATCACTTTGTTAATCTAGATCTTGTTATCAGGTATATTCAAAAAGCACAGGGACTACAGTCCATCCTCCAGTGCATCCCCAGCCCTGGCCTAGAAATTCCCCCACCGCACATGGTGGATGCCAGCAGCCGGGGGCCTCTTCCTTGTGTGGCCCCTCAGCCCCGCTGCACGGCTGGCAGCCAGACACGCTCAGAACGAGGCCTCTCGCTGCTTCCGGTGGCCAGTGTGAGACGCAGACGGTGCTTCCAGCTGCTACATTCATCTGCCCCTGACCAGACCCTGCCAGCCTCCCAAACGTCAGCTCTGCTTATTTTAGTTCAACAGCTGTCCCCTTCCTTTATCTGTAGTTTCACTTTCTGTGACTTCAGTTACGTGGTCAACTATGGCCTGAAAATGGTATAATACAATAAGATATCTGAGAGAGAGGGAGACAGGCAGATAGAGGGACTGACCACATCCACACAACTTTTATTACAAGCATTCTGTTATTAACAGGGGAGTTACTGTTAATATCTTGTTTGCCTCATTTACATATTAAACTTACCCTAGGTGTCACATGTAGAAAAATCTCATGAGGTGTGATCACAATATAAGGTGAATAACTTTTTAAACAATGTATTATAGTAAAAGACCGCCATTTATCCCCGTCAAAATATGCCTTTGCTTCACCACACTTGAGCCCTTGTTCTTTTCACTTTCTGAAGCCATTCCGGAAGGCTTCACTCATAAGTGTCTTTCTGTAGCTAACTGGGAGTCCTGAGTGGCTCGAAAGCGTCAACGGCCATTTCTGACAAACGAAAGCATTATGTGTGTCCTCAGCCACTTTATTCCCGGGCCTGGCTCCCCAGGACTTCTGACTCTTCCCTGAATTCAGCATAGCCAGGAAAGTGATTCAGGACATGGAGACAGCCGTGACAACGCCACTAAAGGCACAGAAGAAGACCTCAGAGCTTCAGAGTGATGAAAACAATGGACTTCGTGTGTGCACCGCAAGGGAAAGGACTTTGAGGGGAGTCATGACAGTGTGTCTTTTACTATAACAATGTTTTAAAAATTTAAACATTTGCCCCCTTTTTCGGTCACACTGCTTAGACAAGGCTTGGTACTATCCGTGGTGCTGGGCATCGTGGTGTTCTTGGAGTGTATCCCACTGTGACTCAGCGGGGGAACCTCAGGTCAGCTTGTGACGCAGGCACTCTAGGCAGAGTGACTCATTAACTGAGGCCGTGGACAGGTAGGTACGCAGGTCTCTGTCCTGGATCACAAGGCCCATAGCACTGGGATCCTGTCACCACCCAAATGCTGCTGGGAACTCACACCAACTCCTACTCACACTCAGCTTAAGGAGCAGTTGGGGGACCCTCTCGGGATGTATGACTCTGAAGCCACAGTGATTGTTTAAAAAAAATTATTTATACATATATATCCCAAATACCAACGTGCTGAAAACGTTCTTCGCTAAGCACGTGTGTACGTATGCGCGCAGACACCTGGACGCTCGTTACGTTTCCCTGTCTGGACTGACAGCTCTTCCCCTCCCTCCCCGACACATCTGTTTACGTGAAGCCTGTACGAAGGTTCTGCTTCACATGCACCTCCTGTTCATTAAGTGAATGCACTGGGCTTTCCTGTGCAGGATATTTCTGGATGAGCTCTTGTCACCAAGCTGTCCCCAGCTGCAGGTTCAGTGCATGACAGTGCAATGTCACACTGCTCTTCAGAGGACAGAAAATATGCAAAAAGTACCTATTGCACAACTATGACATGTCAGGGAGCAAAGAGGCTCTGAAATATAAAGGTGAGGAAAAGCAACAGCTCTCTGAGCACAAGAAAGAGGCAACCAAGAAGGAATTTCTGAACCATCATTGCTCTTAGCCTTTTCAAAAAACTCTGAGATAGACATGGTTAATGCCACTGCCAGAGGAAGTAAAGCTCAAAAACATTAAGCTACTGGCCAAGATCAATAAGCCAGGGAGTGAGGACTTAAATTCTACTGTGGTTGCCTGGGAAGCACACTTTCCTCAGGACACGTGCATGCAGATGTGATTCAGTTACTGATCTTCAAGTAAGGGGCTCCTCTGGGATCATGTGGGTGGCCTGGAAATGGAGTCACCTGCAGCCTTACAAAGCCAGGCCAGAGGGGAGCTTGGCATGTGGAAGGAGAGTGGCACTATGGGCAGACATGGAGACTGGAGCAAGCACACTGCAAGCCTGGAGGGCTGGTGACCACTGGACAACGCAAGAGGCGAGGACAGATTTGCCCTCAGCCTCAGGAGGAAGTGAGACCCTGCAGACACTGGTTTCCCAGGAGCTGGGAAAATCCAGTTACCACTCAAACCTGCTGCCTCCGAAGTGGAAGGTTCCATAAACCAGAAAAAGAGGTGAACAAACCCAGGATTCCCAAAATGTGTGCGTTAAGGATTTACAGGTTGGGACAGGTCTTGGGCAGCAAGAAGGCGGGGAGGGAGAGCAATACCCCAAAGTAAGAAGAAGGGGTCTGCATGCTAAGCGAGACAAAGGGGATCTGCAGTGAGCAGAAGCATATACAGGCCTTTTTAAAAACTATCAACGTGTCAAACATCAATTAAGGAATGTATCTTAGACTTTGTAGGTTTGGAATACATGCAAGACAGCAGCTTAACCTTCTAATTTTTTTTATTTTTGGTGACAGGGTCTCCCAGGTAGTTCAGTCTTGATTTGAACTCATGAACTTAGAGCCATCCTTCTGCCTTGGCCTACCAAGGGCTGGGACTACAGGCCTGTGCCACCTCACCCAGCCCTAGACAGCAATTTAAAATCCAAGATGGCCATAGTTATGCCAAGTTAGATCCCTTACACCCAGGTAAACAGATTTTGGATTGCTAGCCTCCAGACTGCGTGACAGTATGTGATGTTTTGGGCCAGTAATGTGTGACATGGTGTTAGGGAAGGATTATAATATTAGTAAAGATTAAATGGTGAAGAAAGTGACATGCTTTCTGTTAAAGAGACTAACAGAACCATGAAGTACAAAAGCTACATCCTAACACTTAATTACAATTACCCCAAGAGCAGGTACAACACCAACTTAACTCTGTCCTGATCACTCCTCGATGACTTACAACAAGCAGTAATTAGTTGAAGCAGTGGAAAAACGTTTTTTCTTATTTTCATCAAAGTAATTGAAAATCAGCAATAATCTATGAAATTTTATGACTACAAATTAAAAATATGTGCCACAGAACAGAAAGAATTACGCTCAAGGGATACCTGATTTGGCTGAGTTTTTAAAAGAGAAACACATATGCTGCTCTGAAGAGGGGCTAGTACGAAAAAGCCACTGTGTGAGGGTCTGGACTGCGCCGCCGCGCCTTCCACCCCACGTGGGGGCCTGCACCATACCGGCCGCACCTTCTGCCCCGCGCAGGGGTCTGCGCCGCGCCAGCTGTGCCTTCCGCCTCGTGTACTGGTGACCAATCACAGACACCACATGAAGCTTTGGGCTTTAGTAAACTGGCAGAAATGTGTACTTGCTTTCCAACTTATGTTGAAAGAGAGAGAAGAAGCAGTTCCAGAAGAACCGTATGTCTTTGACAAATTAAAATCAGCATAACCTGTAGCCACTGTGTTGTGACCACAGGGACAGTAGGCTTCTTTTGGACAGGTGTGTTCCTAGGTATGCTCTCAACTGTGGAAGGGCTCCGCTGTCCCGTTTCATTCCGAGCGCTTCTGTTACGTAGGGCAGCACTGGCCATTTCCCAGCTGTCATGTGTTTGTCACGTTACTATGTTCTCAGGAATTCTCATAATTCAAGCTTTTTTTCTTGGCTTTTGCACAAATACGAGTACATCGTTTCCAGATAATGACAAGGCTCCTCACCTTCCGTAATGGACTCGCCTGCACGCTGGCGAGGACCACCAGATGAAGTATGGAATCACGGAAGCCCAACGTCCACCCTGGCCGTCTCCATGGGGTTTTCCTAGTACTGAAGGCTGAACTGAGCTACATTCCCAGCTCATTTTCTGAGTTCAGTGTAGGATCTTGCTACGTCACTAATTTTCCCAGGCTGGGCTAGAGCTTGTAACACCCCTGCTTCAGCCTCTCAGTGTACCGGGACCCAGAGGAGCACTACCACACCCAGCTGCTCCCCGTTTTCCATGCAATATTTCTAAGGTTGCACTACAAACTAAGATCTGCTGCCTGGCTTTTGTTGATGTTATTTTTGACCAAAAGAAGCAATTACTTTTTTATTTAAAATTTGCTAACAATTTTGTCTTTTTAACAAAAATTGTGGCTTGGGTAGTGCCTCCCATTAACTATAATGCATAAGATTATATAACTTTATCTGTTCCTTAACACTGTAAATAATAGGCATACATTTCCAGAGGAAAAATACTGATTTGAATGGCAAGTGACAAGCTGTACCTGGTGGTGGCCTTCACAGTGGTAGGGGTCTGGTGGCAGGCTTCACAGCAGAGCCCGATGCTCATTTCATCCGCCTGTGGCCCACCGCTACCTCATTCAGCACTGCTATCTGTGCCCCTTACCTGCAGGACGCACCTGGCTGTCACAGCTTCGGTAGCACAGAGCTAACCCTTGCCAATGTGGGAAGCAAACCCCACGGGGTGCCCTGAGAAGGACCAAAGGCCTAAGGAGGGACCACAGGGGTCTCTGCACTGTCAATAAAAGGAACGCCACTTTTAAAAGAAAACACCCAGAGTTCTACATAAGTTGCAGGCTCACTGCAGAAATCACACTCTCCAAGGCTGCTCTGTGCAATACGCGGCGACATGCTACCCAATACCACCACCAAATCTTCAAAACTTTCAAAACTGCTTCACCACCTGGAGACCAAACACTCTGCAGGAAAATGTAAGTCTTTGAAGGTTGTTTTTTTTTTTTTTTTTTTTTTAGTGAACGTGAAGAACTGGAGCAATTACTGAAGGCCACGCTCCATCAAACGCGACTGCACTGAGAGCATCATTCTTAGCAGCCAACCACAGTACAAACCTGCAAAGCCTTTTCCGATTGGTCAGGAGAGGATCCTGCCTGCAGTGAAGCTAATCTGCTGTGGACTCTTAGGGGAGGTTATAGTTCAAAAGATGGCATGTGCTTCTCTTTTAGTGGCACCATACTTGGAAGAACTGATGGAACAGTGGAGGACTCTGAGGCACCGATGCTCCAGAGGACCGAGTCCCCGTGCCGTGTAATTCTGCCAATGTTGACGACGAGGAGCAAACCTTGCTTTGAGGGGGTATTTTCAGGAGGGTGTGCCTGAGGAGATGGCAGTGCACTTCTGTCTCCAACCAACAACACAGCCACAGAGCTAGTCAAGCGTTCGAATGCGTGCACGGCAGCAGGCTGAGCCAGTCATTCTGTGTTGGTGTAAGTAAGAATGGAGCAGAAGCGGAGTCCGGTCTCAAAATGGAGGTAAAACCGCCGCCCGGTCGCCCCCAGCCCGACTCCGGCCGTGGCCGTCGCCGTCGCCGCCGGGGGGAGGAGGGCCATGATCCAAAGGAGCCAGAGCAATTGAGGAAGCTGTTTATTGGTGGTCTGAGTTTTGAAACTACTGATGATAGTTTAAGAGAACATTTTGAAAAATGGGGCACACTCACAGATTGTGTGGTAATGAGAGATCCTCAAACAAAACGCTCCAGAGGCTTTGGTTTTGTGACTTACTCTTGTGTTGAAGAGGTGGATGCAGCGATGTGTGCTCAGCCACACAAAGTTGATGGGCGTGTAGTGGAACCAAAGAGAGCTGTTTCTAGAGAGGATTCAGTAAAGCCTGGTGCCCATCTAACAGTGAAGAAAATTTTTGTTGGTGGTATTAAAGAAGATACAGAAGAATATAATTTGAGAGACTACTTTGAAAAATATAGCAAGATTGAAACCATAGAAGTTATGGAAGACAGGCAGAGTGGGAAAAAGAGAGGATTTGCTTTTGTAACTTTTGATGATCACGACACAGTTGATAAAATTGTTGTTCAGAAATACCACACTATTAATGGGCATAATTGTGAAGTGAAAAAGGCCCTTTCTAAACAACAGATGCAGTCTGCTGGATCGCAAAGAGGCCGTGGAGGTGGATCTGGCAACTTTATGGGTCGTGGAGGAAACTTTGGAGGTGGTGGAGGGAATTTTGGCCGTGGTGGAAACTTTGGTGGAAGAGGAGGTTACGGTGGTGGAGGAGGTGGCAGCAGAGGTAGTTACGGAGGAGGTGATGGTGGATATAATGGATTTGGAGGTGATGGTGGAAACTATGGTGGTGGTCCTGGTTATAGTAGTAGAGGAGGGTATGGTGGTGGTGGACCGGGATATGGAAACCAAGGTGGTGGATACGGTGGTGGTGGAGGAGGATATGATGGTTACAACGAAGGAGGAAATTTTGGTGGTGGTAACTATGGTGGTGGTGGGAAGTATAATGATTTTGGAAATTACAGTGGACAGCAACAGTCAAATTATGGACCCATGAAGGGGGGCAGTTTTGGTGGAAGCAGCTCTGGCAGTCCCTGTGGTGGTGGTTATGGATCTGGTGGTGGAAGTGGTGGATATGGTAGCAGAAGGTTTTAAAAAACAACAGAAAAGGGCTACAGTTCTTAGCAGGAGAGAGAGCGAGGAGTTGTCAGGAAAGCTGCAGGTTACTTTGAGACAGTCGTCCCAAATACATTAGAGGAACTGTAAAAATCTGCCACAGAAGGAACGATGATCCATAGTCAGAAAAGTTACTGCAGCTTGAACAGGAAACCCTTCTGGTTCAGGGCTGTCATAGCCACAGTTTGCAAAAAGTGCAGCTATTGATTAATGCAATGTAGTGTCAATTACATGTACATTCCTGAGGTCTTTTATCTGTTGTAGCTTTGTCTTTTTCTTTCTTTTCATTACATCAGGTATATTGCCCTGTAAATTGTGGTAGTGGTACGAGGAATAAAAAATTAAGGAATTTTTAACTTTAAAAAAAAAAAAAAAAGAATGGAGCAGAAGCATGGGGGATGGCTGTCTAGTTTCACTACCTGGGTTAAAGGCATTGCTGATGAATGTGAGTTGGTGTACTGTGTTACCCACCAAGAAATGTGGGCTAGCCAAAAGATGTCACCTGAACTCATCAAGTTTTTATGAGATGTGATTAAAATTATCAACCACACACATCTCCTCTTATACACAGAAGCGAGCTATCTAAAGGTAGGTCCCTGGCCAGAGATGCTGGGTGATGAGGGCCGCTCTAGAGGCTTCTTCTAGAAAAACTCACCATGGCAGCACATTTCAGTAATGCAGAAAGGGCTGAAAAGCTTGCCTATCTGGGTGACACATTCCACCTGTTCAAAGAGCTCAAGCTGTCACTTCAGAAAAAATGACAGCTGCGTTCAAGTTGGCGGATAGAGTGGCTGCACTCAAGGCCAGACTGGAATTATAGGGGAGACAAGTAAATGCTGGGGTTTTTGATGTTTCACACACTAGTAGAGATCCTGAAGGAGGCGAGGCCAGGCTCCCTCTCTCCCAGCTGGTGCATGACCACCTACCTCCGACAGCAAGAGAGGCTGAGCACTACTTCCCAACCACAAAGACCCTCACACTGGGAAGAGCAGATCTGTGATGTGGCTGTGAGTAAGCCAGGTGAATCAGCTTTGTCCCAGCACGGCATCAAGGGGTTGAGGTCACAAATGACAGTGGCCTTTAAAGTATGCTTAAGACAACTGCACATTTCCACAAATTCTGGGTGAAAGTCAAGGTGAACTATCTTGACTACCCCAAAAGCCCTGAGAAGCCTGATTCCACTTCTAGCCTCTTATTTTTGTGAAGCAGGGTTTTCTGTGGTGATAGCAACCAAAACAAGATTATGGAGTAGACTGCATGGAAGCAACACACATAGCTGTCACTGTCTCCTATGACTCACACTCTCTCTCTCTCTCTCTCTCTCTCTCTCTCTCTCTCTCTCTCTCTTTGTATTTTAGGGAAGGGTCTACAGGGTGTTCAGGGTCTCACTATTAGATGGGACTCGCAGTGATCTGCCTGTTCTAGCCTCCCAAGTGCTGGGATTATAGGCATGTGCCACCATGCCCAGTCTCAATCTCTGTCTCAGCACGCCCTGGGATCAGAGCAGGCATGGCAGGCCCGGGGATCAAACCCTGAGCACCTGAGCCTGCTTGCAGGCACTTTAATCCACTGAGCTTTTTGGCTGGCCCGCCTATGACTCTCAAATGGGACTATTTTCAGGAAAACAACCTCAGGGGTTGATTCTGCATTACACTGAGTGGTGTAGCACTGCATATTATAAGCAACTATAGAAGAAATGCAATGCTCCTGAGTCATCACAAAACCGTCCCTCCTCATGGTCCGCGTAAACATGACCTTCCGTGAAACGGGTCCTTCACACCAAAAAGGTTAAAAGCGCAATGTTGGACCAAGCATGGTGGCTCACATCTGTAATCCTAGATACTCAGGGGGCTGAGGCAGAAGGATTTTATGTTCAAGTCAAGCCTGGGCAATACAGTGAGACCCTGTCCCAAAAATTTTTAAAAAGGATGTAGGATGTAGCTCAGTGGTGGAGAACTTGCCTAGCATATGAGGCCCTGGGTTCAACCCCCAGTAACATAAAAATAAAACAAAACGGTACATTTTGGGATTTGATTTGCTAATACTAACCTTGAGTTTCTGTATCTGGAATGAAGGCCTACACGGTTTTATCTAGCACTTTGGCATCAGGATTATGCCATGCTTCTAGAACCAGCTGAAAACAGTCCCCTTTTTCTGTGTTCTTGAACTATGTAAATGTTTGGCTCATTTTTAGAAACCAAATCTATCAACTGAAAAATTTATTTGAAATGGTTGAAGCAGTAAATACTTATTATCATTATTATTATTATTTTCCTAACTGGCATTGAGTACAACAAAGAATAGTAAACTTAGGGCTGGCCCAATAGCTCAGCAGATTAAAGTGCTGCCTAGGCAGATGCAGGGACCAGGGTTCAATCCCCAGGGGGCCATGCTGATCCCACCCAGTGATTAAGACTGGGCGTGGTGGCAGGCACCTGCAATCCTAGCACTTGAGAAGCTGAAAACAGGAGGATCACTAGGAGTCTGATCTGTGTCGTGAGACCCTGTAGACCCTATACTAAATACATTTTAAAAAAGAATAGTAAAACTTAAGTCAATGCTTCCAAATTCCAGTGCAAACTTCCTCTCCAACACACCTTAGATGTCAGGAAATAACTTGGTTATATTCTTGGGGGACATTGAAATATATACATTTATGTAAATAAAATGCTCTTAGTAAAGAAAGGTACTTTGCCCTTAAGAATAAGTGCATGTCCCCTGTTAACGGTTCCAGAAAATTAGTCACGTTGTTTTATAACATTCAGAATAAAGACTTACTACTCGTGGCAACTGAGTTCCCCACCAATTGTTTCAGACTCACCAGAAGAAAGCCTAGATTTTCTCTACCAGCCGTATATAAGAGCTGTACATGGTAAGACTGCACCTTAAACAAAAAATGATGCACTGCCTTGCTCGAACGCGTTCATAAGAAAACTAATTCATGTGTCTCACTGCCGCGTAACTTTGATTTGAAGCTTAATATTCCCGTTGGCTTGAGCCACTGGTGTTATGTGCATGACTGTCCCATCAGATGGCATGGGACTAGTGGCATAAGCCACTTGATGGCAGTCACACATGCCCACCAGTGGCTGAAGCCGGTGGGAATGTGTGAAATCCAAAACAAACACTTCTGGGCCCTTTGGAGAGGCAGGTGAGAAGGAAACTCACACACCCAGCGCCTAGGTAACATTTTCCATGCCATTTAAAAAAGGTTACGTTGTTCTTTTTTTTTTATTTGCAGAACTAGGAATTGAACTCAGGCCCTTGCACTTGCCAGGCAAGCGCTTATTCTGCTAAGCCATCTCCCCAGCCCGGTTACGCTGTTCTTACAGAACAATTCTCACATTAATATCTTCTCAAAACATTTTGAAAGTGAAGATCTTAAAGAACAGCTCTGATGACATGAGAGAGCCTGACACTTACCGATGCCAGGGCCCCAGGCCTGGGTCCTGCTGACGTTGTGCTGCTTTACGCAGTGATTTTCCCCAGCGCCGGGCACAGTGGTGAACATCTGCAGTCCTGGCACTAGGAGGTCCGAGGCAGGAGGATCACAAGTTTAAGCCCAGCCTGGGCAGCTTAGTGAGACCCCTTCTCAAAAAAGTCAAGTGCGTGAGATATATATCAATTCAAAGAGCCTGGAGTTCAATCCCCAGTAGAAAAAAAGAAAGAAAGAAGATGATTTACTTAGCAAGGCTGGGCTGAGAGGATCACTGCGTGATGCAGCTGTCCAGTAAAAGATTCTGTTTCTAGAGCTAAAACAAAAAATGGAAATAGAGCCAAGGTCAAGCTCTCTTGGGGGCTTGGGGCAAACCACAGTGCCAAAAGGACACCAAGCTCCAGACTCCCCCAAGTCGTTCCGTTCCCCAAGCAAGCAGTGTGTGCCCTTGAGTCCCCTCCAAGTTGTATTTACCGCTAGACAATGAGAAAGCTCCCACAGCCCTCAGTTTGGAGCCAGCCAGCAGCATTAAAACAATGCAGGTGTCTGTTGCTTCTGCTGGCTTAGGGGTCAGAGAGGAAGCAATGCCGCAGGGACAAACCCCAGAATGCAGCAGGCCCCAGGCTGTGGCTGCGGGTCAGATGAATCCAGCCCTGTGTGTAGCTCCAAGGCTCATTCGCAGCTGAGGATTGTCAATTCTGGTAGAGAAGCCTGCACTTGGTGGGACACAGGCTGTTTTAAGTAACTAGCAAGCACAAAGGTAGCTTGATGTAGGCAGAATTCACAAAAGGTTAAGAATAAATGAAGTGACTAGGTAACGTGTGTGTGTGTGTGTGTGTGTGTGTGTGTGTGTGTGTTACAGAGAGAAGATACAAGGCCTAGGTAAAAACCCCAGAGATAACAAGTTCTCTACAAGGAAACACAGAGAACTGAGGACTGCTACCCTTAGATAAGAAAGACATGCATGGAATTCTGGAACCAGTGTGCTTGAACATTAAGGATACAAAATTACAGAAAGGAGTAAGAAGCTCTGGCCTGCTACGTAGCAGGAGGGTACTATACTGTTACCTTTGGATAGGAAATGTCCCCAGGGCTCATGTGGGGGGCCTGCTCAGCAATGCAGCAGTGTTCCTGGTGGCCCTAGACAGGACACTGGGTCACAGGTGCCAACTTCAGCTGTGGATGTGAACCACTGGCGCATGCACAGCTCAACAGGTCACTAGGAGGTGGGGCCCCCTAGCAGAAGCAGGGTGGATCAGGGCATGCCTTTATGGGTACACCCCATCCCCAGCGCTCACTCCCTAGTTCCTGCCGCTTCCCATGGCTGCCAGGACTGAGCAGCTTCCCTCAGCCATGCCCTTCTGCCACAACTTCAGCCTCACCACAGGCCTGAGGCCTGGTCCTGAGGCCATGGAGCACGCTGACCAGGGCCGAGCCTCTGAAACTGTGAGCCAAAAGAAATCCTTCCTCCTTCACACTGGTTTTTTAAAAAGTGTATTTTGTCACAGCAATGGAAAGCCAACATATGCATAGCTCAAAAAGCTAGAACAAATTTTGAATGTTTCAGCCATATACAATTGATAAATGTTTGAAGAGATATGTCTAAGTGGATTTAAGTACTACATGAAGAATATATACATATATGTATATATCTGATAGATATATGAATGATATCCCATAAACATGTACATTATAATTTCCATTATCAGTCAAAAACTAAAATTTTTAAAGTATAAAACTCATAAACGCAAAATTAACAGGAATTCAACATGACATTATAAGAAAATACACAATGTTACAAGAGTTTTGCATGAGGGGGTAGGTAAGCATGAAGAAAGTCACTTTCCCAACTAGACTCTGCCTGAGCTTCACCCTAGTGGGAGCTCACGCCACCCTTACCAACACTGGGAAAGCGAGG